GACTATAGACTAGACTATAGACTAGACTATAGACTAGACTATAGACTAGACTATAGACTAGACTATAGACTAGACTATAGACTAGACTATAGACTAGACTATAGACTAGACTATAGACTAGACTATAGACTAGACTATAGACTAGACTATAGACTAGACTATAGACTAGACTATAGACTAGACTATAGACTAGACTATAGACTAGACTATAGACAAGACTATAGACAAGACTATAGACTAGACAAAAGACTAGACTATAGACTAGACTATAGACTAGACTATAGAACTAGACTATAGACTAGACTATAGACTAGACTACAGACTAGACTATAGACTAGACTATAGACTAGACTATAGACTAGACTATAGACTAGACTATAGACTAGACTATAAAACTAGACTATAAACTAGACTATAGACTAGACTATAGACTAGGACTATGGACTAGACTATAGACTAGACTATAGACTAGACTACAGACTAGACTATAGACTAGACTATAGACTAGACTATAGACTAGACTATAGACTAGACTATAGACTAGACTATAGACTAGTCTATAGACTAGACTATAGACTAGTCTATAGACTAGACTATAGACTAGACTATAGACTAGACTATAGACTAGACTATAGACTAGACTATAGACTAGACTATAGACTAGACTATAGACTAGACTATAGACTAGACTATAGACTAGATTATAGACTAGACTATAGACTAGACTATGGACTAGATTATAGACTAGACTATATACTAGACTATAGACTAGATTATAGACTAGACTATATACTAGACTATAGACTAGACTATAGACTAGACTATAGACTATAGACTAGACTATAGACTAGACTATAGACTAGACTATAGACTAGACTATAGACTAGACTATAGACTAGACCATAGACTAGACTGTAGACTAGACTATAGACTAGACCATAGACTAGACCATAGACTAGACCATAGACTAGACCAAAGACTAGACTATAGACTAGACTATGGACTAGACTGTAGACTAGACTATAGACTAGACTATAGACTATTCCATTCCAATTGTAGGGTGTAATTTTGCTAGACATGATCCATTATACTTTCTTATATGTTTTTCTTGGATTTTGTTAACAATTATTAATGATTATTCGAGTGTTTAAAGCGAGAGATTTGTTATTATTTTTAATCCAATAATACTAGTAATTAGTAGAGGATTTTGTTGTTATCTTTGATAAATAAAAATAGAGAAATTATCATTGATTTACCATAATATATCTAAAAATGCACAGACAAATCAGAAGCCCAAAGACAGTATTTTTGATGAAGTAAAACTTGGTTAAAGTTCGTAAGTGAAATTTCTATTCGATACAAAAGTTCACTCTATCACGAAATTGAGGATTATCGCCAATATAATTAATAGGGAGGAAGTTGAGATCACGTTGAGGAAGTGGGTCTTATTATTTCCTCAGCCTCTATAAATGTGACAACGAGGTCAGAAAAGTAGTATATTTTGCAATCATACTGTTCATGGTACGATATTTTAAAATAAATACTCATGTAAATTCCTTTTAATGAATGGTTTGTTGCAGATCATCATCTAGTGATCCACATCAACACAACCAGATCACTTGCACTTTACATAGAGGGAGACTGTGACTGCATTGTAAATGCCGCATGTGCATCTTAATCAGTCTTATTCGTCTGGATTTTATTTATGTATATCTTTAAGATTAAAACCAGGTTGACAACATTGTTAAATTGTTGTTAAACTTAATTAACAATTTAAATGACGGTCTTCTGTTTGCTTTTTACTCTTTTTATTAATCCTTCGTTTATTTTAAACGCATACAATGATTGATTTTTATCTTTGATGCGATTTTAATTTATTTTACTTTTTTTTCTATTAAAAGTAAAAAAAATCTTTGGATTACATATATCGACTGCAAACAGTTGGACGCCGTTGTTGATATGTATGTTTGGAGGTTCCATTAATTGTGAGCATGCACCCACAATTGCATAAAAATAGAAGAAAAAATGTAATTACAATTGAAGAGAAAATTTCTTGGAACTTCATTTATATAAACCAGTTTAAAACCACAAGTTTCTCTGGAAGTCTAAAAATTGTGATTAATCGTTTGGTATCTTATACATGTGGTCATTTGTGGCTTTTGGTGGACAGATGTTGAAAATAAATAATTTATTTTCGATAACCTAGTAAAAGTGTGATGATTTGAAGCGATTTATTCACACAGACTATAAACTAGACTAAAGTCCCGACTGAATTTACTTGTGAGACAAACTATTGTCTGAACCTTATACTAAACTATAGTCGAGACTATGGACCAGACAATAGTCCAGAATTTAGAAAGGAGTATATTGCAAATTAAAATAAAATTAGACTAGTAGACCTTTATAACTACTATACAGACTATAGACAAAAATTTAGACCCAATTATAGAATAAACTGTATACCCGAATATAGACTATTTTAACTATAGTCCAGACTTTGTACACAATTAAAGAACAGACTAATATTAAACTATAGATCAGACTGTAGACAAAATTTTAGCGATTTTTCAGACTATCGACTAAACTAGAGAGCAAAGTAAAGACTAAACTATAGGCCAAACTATAGACTACATCAGACTATAGTCTAAACCATAAGCTAAACTATAGGCCAGACTGTCAACAAGAATATAGTTCAGAGTAACGACTAGACGGTAGTTCAGACTATAGACTGTAGTCCGAACTATTAACTATACTTTAGACCAGACTATAGGTTAAACTACAGTCCATACTGCCGACTAAATTAAACAATAGACCAGACTACTAAAAATTATAGTCTAGACTATGCTCCAGACAATAATCCAGACTATCGACTATGCTATTAAACTGACTAAAGCCTAAACTATAGTCCAGACTATAGACTAAATTATAGATCAAACAATAGACTAAACTCAAGTCCAGACTATTAGCTAAACTTTTGACTAAACTATAATACGGACTATGAACCATGAAGTCCAGAATATAAACAAAACTATAGTCTGGAGTTAAGTCTAAAGTTGATCTATAATTTAGTCTATAGTCTGGAGTATAGTTTAGGCTATAGTCACATGCTATAGATAACACTCTAGTTCAGACTATCGACTTATCTGTGGACTGAACTATTGACCAGATTATCAATGAAACTATAAACCAGACTATAGACTGGACTATAGTCCAGAGTATTCACTAAAATATAGTTCAGACTTTCGACTAAATTATAGACTAAACTGTAGTCCAGACTTTAGATTAAGCTATAGTCCAGACAATCGGTTAAACCATTGTCCATGTCGACTAAACAATAGATTGATTGAACTATAGTCCAAACAATCTACTAATGTATAGTGCAGACTACTGAATAGTTAGTCTACAGTTCAAAAGTTCAGAATATAGGGTAAACTATAGACCAGACTATCAACAAAGTTATAGACTAAGCTATAGACTAAACTATTGTCCAGACTATCGACTGATCTTAGTCCAGATTATAGACTAAACTAGTCCAGATTATAGACAAACTACTACAAACTCAAACTATGCGCGAAACTATAGTCCCGACTACCGACTAAGCTATAGACCTGAACTAAAAATATAGACCAGACTATAGACAATAGCCCCAACTATCGACTGATCTTAGTCCAGATTATAGACTAAACTACAGTTCAAACTATGTACTAAACTATTGTTCCGACTACCGCCTAAGCTATAGACCTGAACTATAGTCCATAAAAATGTGTTTCTTATATAAATTTAGTGATCAAAAAATTATAAGAACGATTCAAAATTAACCTAAGACCCTATAGCGGCCCTAAAATATAAGAATCATCATCTATTACAAATATTATTGAATTAATTTTTGTGTTTAATACTTGCTAGTAGTGTTCAACTTAATTAATTGATTTCAAAATCGGACTTACTGATTCCAAATAGTTTGCGGCAAAAAAGTTTCATAGTAATTTTATACCAAAATTTTTAACATATAAATGAATGTATGTTATTTCCAACAAATCAATTACCTTCAACCGCCATATTCAGTTCCAATTAGCATATTTTTATTTTTAACACTATCTATTTTTGTATTTTCTAAATCTAACACGTCCATTAAAACTGACTCATTCGCATATAGAAGAAGAAAGAATGAATTCAAGTGTCTTTTAAAAGAAATGAAGAATTGCGTCAAAAAACTAGCGAAATTGTTAAGAAAATACTATATACTTCGCTAGAATTATCACTCAACTAAATGACTGATGTCATAACATAGACGTCTGCAAATCAAAATCAGTTAAGTAGTTAAAACTTTACAAAAACGGTGCTTGAAGAGAGTCATATATAGTAGAACCGATATATATAGTCATGCACGCGGTTACAGAACTTATACATACATACATATATAGTATAAAAACATTTATTCATGGTATATTTTTGGCGAAAGCAAATCGTAAAATAAAATATTAACTGCTGAGCCTTTAAATGTGATAATGAAATCTATAACAAGATATACGAAATGCGATAACGCTGACAAGTGAAATCGCAGCCAAAAACAAACTAGAAAATAAATAAAGAATTCTTCTTATCAGTTGACAAACAGAGAGAAGCGAATTCCAAATGAACTCTTTGTAAAGCAAAAAAAAAAAAAAAAAAAAAATCAGCGAATAATTTTGTACTCGTATGGGATATAAGTACAACTGGAAATGACGTAACTCTAGATACCAAAAAAAAACAATTCGTATAAAATATGTGAGTACGAAAGTAATGTATTGGAAATTATAAAAATAATAATACTTCTATAGCCAATATGGGTTGATAATGTTGCCAGTAATAGAACCAAAATTAGTCAGATATTTGCAGTGGTAGTAATAAGTTAGTTTGTGTTGTTAAAAGTTAATTAAAGTTTTTTTTCTTTCAGGTATTTGTTTAATTAATTTACAAAATAATCAAAAATTTCCTTTTGAAATCTTATTTCTTTGCAGTTAAACTAACTTAGAGGAGTTCCATATACTGCCAACTTTTCTCACATCTTCAATTCAACCGAAATCAATTCGAGACAGAAGAGTGTGTAATAATAAAAGAGATAGCAAGAGAGAGAGAGAGGAAACACAAATAAAAACAAAATGACGAGTCCAACAACGACGAGACAATCTTATAAATTGTCCTTAACCTTTTTAAGCCTTTTACTATGCTCAATGGTTGTGGCTACACCCACTGCACACACTACCACACATGCTGCTGACAACTCCTCGTCGTCGTCTCCAGTGGATCTTAAGGCTGATGAAAACTACTTGTGTCCCGAAGACTGTCACTGTGTTTTGGCTCACAATACACACAAACCATTTTTGCATGCCAAATGTTCATCTCTAAAGGGTCTTCAGACAGAGAAGGCCTTAGAGGCTACACTGCCGGTACATTCCATAGATTTGTCATTCTTAAATTTGACTCGTTTGGCCAAGTCTTTGGAAAAACTGCACGATCTCACTTCCATTGATTTGTCACACAATGAATTGCACGAAATTGGCCATTTGGGCAGACGTATCAAGAAATTGAATTTGAAGCACAATCGCATTAACTCCTCCAAATTGTCCAAAATGCCACAACATGTTCAGTCTTTGAATTTACAGCACAACGATATTACCAACTTGCCCTTGGAATTTACCAAATTGACTCAGTTGCAGTCATTGGAATTGGCCCACAATCAAATCAACTGTTCCTGTGAAACCTTGGAGGTGCGCAATTGGCTGCAAGAGCGTCATGTTTTCATGGAACATCCGGTGAAATGTTTCTATCCCGCCCTCTACAAAGGCAAATCCTGGTTGCAGGTCAAACAGTCGGCGGTTTGTGAAAAGGAGAAGAGATTGGGTTATAACGCTGCCGAGGAAGAAGAAAATGAATTGATGATGGGTGATCAGCCGTTCGAAGCTTCCGGTGATGAGGTACAAGATGAAGAGGAATTGGGTAAAGATTTTATGCCCATTGACAGCAATACCAAAAAGACCACTAGTGCCCAAAATTCAGCTCTCACCATGTTAAGTGAAGTTGAAGGTTCTGGCGATTTAAGTGAAATGAATTTGCCTTTGGATATGTTGGACACCAGTACCAACTCGGCTCCTGTAGATGAAGTAACCACCGAAATGCCCGAAGAAGATGATGAAGGTTCTGGCAGTGGTGGCGGTATGTTGTTTATACCCGCTATTCATCGTGAACATGTAATCACCGACGATTTCGATATACCCGAGTCAAAGGAAGAAGATGATGGTGATATGAATGAAGATGATTTGAATGACAACAAACCCATTGAAGAGCCTGCAGTTGATTCTGATGTCTTCCGTCATAATTTGGGTATTTTCGATGGTGATGAGAAACCTAGACCTAGTACCGAGCAGCCAGAAGTTGAAGAGGAAGAAATTAAACCTGTGGATGTACCCACTTTGGGTGAGGGTAATGAACCTTCCACGGATGGTCCCGAAACTGATGCTGTGGCTCATGCTAAGATGGGTGAAACTAAGGATGATAGCAATGCCACCTACTTCCTTTTGGGTGTTATTGGTCTCATTGTCATTGGCCTTTTGTTGTATGTGGCCATTAAACGTTGCAAGCACAGCAGTCATCGTAATGATCCCGAAAATCCTCAAACTGAATTGGTAGATATGGACAAGAAACAATTGGGCAAACCTTTACGCAATGGAGTGCCCGAACATGTACCTTTGATTGGAGAAAAAACTAAATCCGATATGGCTAAACCTATTAATGGCTCCAAACCCTATGACGGTGATACTAAAGATGGTCCCAGTCAAAATGAACCTTTACTGAATAAAAACGGTAATGCTAATGGCAATGGTGCTGCTCATGCCGATGAACCAGAAGACAGTCGTCCTGGCTCTCAATTGCAGGCACCCCATGAATACTATCCCATCTCTCCCAGATATCCACCACCACAATCACCCAGAGCCTCAAAGTACAGTCAACAGCCACAGCAGGCAGAACAAAACAATAATGATCCCAATCAACCCTACCTGCCTTCATCGCCCAAATCCGGCCGTTATTCACCCGTGTACTCACCCGAAACTGGTCGCGTCAAGATCAAGCTAAGTGAAACACCCCGCCCTAAAACACCCATGCTAGTGACACGCAGTCGTTCAAATGCCGGTGATATTATAACCACACCCGTCAGACCCACACAAATGGAAAGCTTACAGGCTACACCCGTTCATACAGCAGCAACAAATGGTCATGCCGTTGGGGATCATTGATAGTTTGGGGGAAGGATCAAATAAACCAATAAAACCCACCCTTCCAAAAACAACCTTCACTACCACACACACATTAAAGCCAACAACCATTTAAAAAAAGAGTAGTGTCTAAAATGCTGTGAATAAGGTGCTTTAAGCGAAATTAACATTAAACAAAAACTTAATATTTAAAGAAAAAAACAACTGAGAGGAAACAAATCACCCACAACAATATTATTTTCATTACAATTATATTATTATTTCCAACAATTAACCATTTAACTAACATGATAAATGTGAAGGAAATTAAGCGTCAAAGTGTTAAAGGAATATATACAAGCCTACAGCTATTTAAAGGTATGCATTGTTATGGGGAGTTACATTTTCGTTTGATTTTTAAAGAAATTTTCAGTTTAAAACGAATTTAAAGTGATGCAATAATTGTTTATACATAGAAATCTTTATAATAAATTTAAAAATAAGACAAATATTTGGTTTTGTATGTCTGTTGCATTTGGATCCAAGGCCCAAAATTTGATGTATTTCGTTAGGTGAAAGGATAATGTATGTTACATCAGATTGTAAGAAATACACTTAGGCCACTATAGAGACTGCTGTGCTCTCCTTTATCAGACTCTCTGGTGGGAATCAAACCCACGGCCTTCGTACGGACAGCCTAGAACTTTTACCTACTGAGGCATCCACAAATTTCATCTAACATCTAGCATTTTTTTTGAAATGAACCGAAATGCAATTGAAAGTATAAGTTTTGTGGTCGAAATGTTCACATTTTAAGGGTCAGGAAATTTTTGGTTAAAGAAAACCTTTCATAGAATACTACCATTGCCCGATCCTCGCTATTGGTCTTAAAATTTGCTTATATCACTCTCTCAAAAATGCTTTTCATGTTCTAAAATAGTCGTTTCATTGGTGTAAGCATAAAAGGTAAACTATAATGTCATCCAAATCAAAAATTTCATAGGAACAGACCTCACGACCTCAGGACTCTTTACTTGAATATGTGTCACAGCAGGTGCAGTAATTCTGGAGATGATCGCTTACGAACAAACATTGCACTTTTTAAACTAGCTTAGGAATCGGTGGAGAGTAAACGTACGTTCGAAATCAAGAATACTAGAAAGCTTTTATTAGAACTCCACATAACTTTACGAGTCTAAACTTTCAAAACTTTTCTTGCTGTCAAATCTTTTTTTAGTTTAAAAGTTATAGAAAGAAACAAATAGGTTTTTTGTAATGCGAGCAGTTTTCAGCAAACAAAAACTGGCTGTTAAGCTGAGAATTTGTGAGAGAAGCCGTTTTTCGACTTCGGCATAGTCCGGAGGTAAAAGTCCATCCATACGGTCGCTCTCTTTTGGTTTAAGAGTTATAAAATGAAACAAGTTTTCGAACAAACATTGCTCTTTTTGAAATAGCTTAGGAATCAGCGGAGAGTAAACGTACGTTCAAAATCAAGAGTACTAGAAAGCTTTTAACAGAACTTTACGAGTCTAAACTTCCAAAACTTTTCTTGCAGTCAATTTTTTTCTTGGTTTAAAAGTTATAGAATGAAACAAAAATGGTTGTTAAGTAGAGAATTTGTAAGAGAAGCCGTTTTTCGACTTCGGTATAGCCCGGAGATAAAAGTCCATACATACGTTCGAAGGAAGCTTATAAAACTAAACATATTTTCGATGCTAATTTTTGATATTTCTTATTGTGGAATTAAAGCTTCAAAGTTTTGTATAAAATTTACATGAAAGCTTTAGCAAACGGATCATTGGTTAAGGTGAAATTTGCGATCAGCCCGGAGGTAAAAGTCCATACATACGTTAAAAGAAAGCTTTTAAAACAAAACACGTTTTCAATAACAATTGTTGATATTTTCGATTGTGGAATTAAAACATCAAAGTTTTGTATAAAATTGACATCAAAACTTTTGCAAACGGATCATTGCTTTGCGAAAGTTTTAATTGAAAGTTTTGAAACGGAATCAAAATGTTACAGAGCTTTAGTGTATAAGCAATAAATAGATAAAAATCTCTACAAAATTTTGTTTAATTAGACAGAAATCATAAGAAATTTTATAAAGAACAAAGCATACCTTTAAATAACTGTAATAACTCAAACTTTTACACATTTATTATTTTTGTTATAACATATTGAAATAAAACTTTAATTTAGCAGAGAGCATAAAAGAGCTTTTGCAGAGAGAAAGCTTTTAAACATGATAACGAACAACAACAACAACAACTTAAGTTATCAAAAGTTTAACCCCATAACGTGTTAAACAGAACTTAAAAGACCTTTTCTATATATAAAAAAAAACTATGAAATATTGTTAAAAAAAATTGTGATTAATGTTAAAGTTTATATATAAAAATTATGAATTATTTTTTATATAAATATTTATTATATTAAATTTAAGAACAAATAAAAATAAACTTTTACTAAGTAAATAAAAAAAAAACAACAACAATTTCATTTTTTTAATAGTTAAAAAAAAAAGCAAAGTTTTCGAACAAAAAAAACTCTTTTATGAAGGCAGCGAAAAAAATTTTTTTTAAATAAACTAATAAATAATTAAAATTAAAACAAAAGAAATGTGCCAACAATTAGTGCCTTAAACAGTTAAATAATTAATAAAAACATTAAAATTTTTCCAGCACATTTAACTAAAAATGTATTAAAATTATATAAATTTTTTTTTTTTAAATAAATCAAACGAAACTATTAATATTTCTTAACTAAAACAATAACACGCACATTAAATTAATTTCCAACTATAAGAAAAAATAACTTTATAACAAATTGCAGAAAACTTTTTAAAAATTGAAACCTTAAAAAAATTCTATGGTTTCTAGCTAAAAACAAAAACAAATCCATCAAATTGTGATAGATTTAAATAAAACCCACATATTATTAAAAAAAATTCTACACTAAAGCTAAAACCTTTAATAATAAATATTTTTGTAGAAATTTATTTTATATTAAAAAAAATAAAACTCCCTAAAAGCATAAAAATAATTTTTAACCTAAAAAAAAAATAAATTGAATAATTATTAATAATAATATATTAAACAATTAAAAGAAATATTTAAGGCCTGTTTTCCTATAAAACTATAAAAAAAATAAATTTAATTATTTTAACATTTTTTTAGCAGTTACTAACTAAGTTTAACTTTTAAACTATATAAGTTGTATAATTTTATTTTTATTATTATTACTTTATATATATATTTTTTTGTTTAACTTTTAGTAAATTCTAGTATAATACCAAAGTTTTAAATATTTTTTTTTTGTAATTGTTAAATATAAATATTTCTTTAAAACTTCCTAATAAACATGTTTGTATTTCATTGTATACTCTATTACTATTTAGTTGTTAATATGTAACTAGACATTATTTTATAATTAAAATTATATATATATATATTTTTGTTTAAAATTTTTTCGTTTCAATAATCTTAAGCTGCCTAATATTTTTTTTTTTCAGTTTTTATTGAAAGTTATTTTAAAAATTTTTAATTATTTTGTTTCATAAGTTTAGTTTAATACAGAAGAATTAAGAGAATAATATATAATATTATTTTAAATTAATTAAAAATAATAAATTTACTTGTAAATAAAATTAAATGTGTTTTGTTTAGTATTTTTAATTGTCATTATAAAAAGTAAGTATCTTAAAATATATGTTTTCTTAATGTCACTACTTTTTTCGTAATATTTACGAATATGTCATATATAATACGAAATATTATTTACGAAAGTATGAAAACCTTTCATAATATCTTTTTCGTAAATTTAAGCGAAACATTAAATTAAAATCTGTACACGAATGTTGAAATGCTTTACGTGAACACCTGCCCCTTTGTAGACTAGAGACGGTCTACCACATGGCCCTAAATCCTTCTATGAAGAACTCAGGTGGCAATTTGAAATGAAGAACTCGAGCTATCTAAACTCTTGCCATAGTAGCCCCATTGTGGAGTGACAGGCAGCATGGGATCAATCGCAACGCAAACCCCGACAAGGAAAAACCAATCACTGGTCTAAAGTCAATAGAAGGGGCGACAAACCCCAACATCAGGTGAAAACAATCTTCCGGTATACCGGAAGGTGACCACCCTTATGATGTCATGAAAGATTGCATTATTTAAAATGCAATCCACAACAACTAATGACCCATTCCAGTGCATGCCTTAACCTCTTAAAGCCCGCGGAACCATACTACTGAGATGGCTCTGATGGTTTGGCAACAGCCAATAAATCAGGATCCCTCTGTATGTCAGATAATGTGACAAAGGATGTAGAAATTTCCAAAGGCAATTCGAACCCAATAATTGCTTCGACAAGTTGAGGAAACGGACCTCAACCATATGTCGCGTAGCATGAAACAATATGAATCCTGTTGAGATTACAACAGCACCGAGATCTTCCCTGAAGGTCTACTACTAAATCAGTACTAGTCTCCTGTCGGGCAGAGGAGTCTTTCCTGATCGTTCACCAATTACATCAGTTCCATACTCAGACCATAAAGAACGATCTACGGAATGACAGGCAACTACCAAGTGTCAACCTGAAAATTCCCCAACATATACTGGCGACCTACTACGCGAAGAGTAAGAGATACTCAATGGGTTCAGGACTCCAGCATAAGTTGGTTTGTCACATCGCCCAGTGACATCTGTTGAGATGGCAATAGCACCCGAGAGAGAATCCAGACATATTTGGCATTTGGATATATCAGTCCTTAAACCAACATTCTCTCCCCGCGAATTTGGGTATAAACCACAGCCACTACGTGGATCCCGAAGGAACCTCAACCAATTGACCGGTCAGGACTAGGTACTGTGGTCCGAGGATACATTTGATCATCACCAGTTTATAGTCTCGGCAGACTAAAGGTATTGGTAGCACCTCTTTATCCCCGGAGTGCAATTCACCAAGATGGGATCTAACATCAAGGAACCATGCCAGGGGGGGTCTAAAAACTGTACAATCCGTGTCGGCCTAATTTCACGGTGGTAATTTTTAACCACTAAGACGCTGACACTGACCGCCCCATTGTGTATCTTACATGGTTCCGCCGGTCCATGTTCAAGTACACTCAAGAACTCGAGCAATCTAATCTCTGACCATAGCTGCCCCGTTGCTCAACTTCCGAGATGCAAAAACATAACTTCCATTAACAACCACGTGCAACAGGGACGTAATCGGTAGATCGAAACGCGAATCAATCAAATAAGCCCTGTACTTTGTTCTTACTAACGGAGAAAACACTATCGTAGATCTGGTATGAACCGAGTTAACTATCGTAGATCTACTATCGTAGATCTGGTATGAACCGAGTTAACCCTGAACATACCTAGACATGGAAGAAACATTCAATGTAATCACTTGTAGAAAGATGCCCTTAATCCATCACCATTCAACCTCTCACACTTCTCATTCATTCGACACACTCATAGAGAACAACATCCCACACATTCGCTCTAGGTATACGGGGTGGAAGTATATCCGTATATCCCTTTATTCACCCTATATCATATACATTTAACACCAACTCGTTTTCAACGCTTATAACAGCTATAGACTTTACCGTCATTTAACCGACATTATCTTCCCGCGAATTTAACAATAACCGGGATAAGACAAATTCCGAATGTCTGAGCTGCGGGCTACCGGTTCCCGTGGTACAAGATTATGTGGTTCTTTGGTTCGACCCCATGTCAAATAATTCCTAGGAAAGACCGAGTATACATTTGATCATCACTAGTTTATAGTCCCGGCAGACTAGAGGTACTGGTAGCAACTCTTTTCCCCGGCATTGCAATCGCACCAAGATGGGGTCTTTCATCATGGTAACAAGCCCTCGGGGATGAATACTGTACTTTACTGTAAATTATTACACAGGTTAACAAAATTCCAAAAAAGTCGAAACCCTGAAATCAAGTTGGAATCCTAATCTGACCTCAGTTTTTCTCCATCACATCTGGGATTTGAGATATCGTATTATGAAGTTTGAAAAAACCCATTTTTGGTCCATTTTGAAACTTTATAACAGCGCCAATACATTTTTATTAATACAATTGTGTATGCCATTTGAAAGTTCATTTTGTTAGCTTTAAAATAGAGGCTTAACATCTGACATATCATCTTTCTTTTCGATATATCTTCATCTAAAGACTGAAAACTCATGGTTTTCGGTATATTCATTATATTTATACCATGCACTACTCTAGTGGGGAGAATATAATGCTTTATAAATATTGTTTTAAACGAACAAAAATACTGGATCCATTCTTACCTGAGCATGTCCGAATTGACTAAAAATCAGTTTCTGATTCGACTTAACGATGTCTGTCCGTCAACTTCAACGGATGAAGTAATGAAAGTTGACCTAAATAAGTTTTCTATGAACTAAATTCTCTCCAACAAATTTCATAACGATCGGTCTGTATAACCCGATATACTAAAATTACGTTATTGTTAATCGTTAATCGTTTTGAATTTTACCTTGGCTCCAATATATTTACTCTTTATATGGTGCTAGGGGGCAAACAAAATTAGTTTGAGGGATTTATTTTGACCTAAAATTTATTGCGATGAATTCCATAGCGATATTAGCTTTTATAAGTGAATTGTGGAAATTCAAGTTATTTCCGGCAGGGGGCTTTGTACGGGGGCTATGATGGTCAAATGAGGCCAGAGTCATCAGTGTTTATATAAGACCTAGTTGTGCCGGCTTTTTGTCGAGATGCAAATACTATATTTAACATAAGTAATTATTAGCTCAAAATCAGTATTCGGGGTGTTCAGGGGATCTTATATGTGGGAAAGAGTCAATTATGGACCGATCTTCATAAAATTTGACAGAGTGTTTTAACTTTCCATCAGCCTTGTTTGTGTCAAATTCAATTGCTATACTGGTGTTTTTAATCGAGTTTTGGACATTAAGGTCATGTTCTGATGAGATCTTTATATGGGGGCTAGTGTTAATTATGTACCGATCCTCATAAAATTTTACAAAAATATTTTGGTTCTTATAAAACTTATTTATGACGAGATTCATTGCTATAGAAGCTTTTTTAAGTCAGTTATCTGCGTTATCGTCATTTTCTGAAAGGGACCTTATATGAGGGCTAGGTGAAATCGTAGACCGATATTGCCCATTATCAATGCCAAATAAACTGCATTAATTACAAATATTTATGCAAAATTTCAGCTCTCTAGCTCGTTTCGTTTGGACTCTATAGTGTTTTCAACAGACAGACGGACGGACGGACATGGCTAGATCGTCATAGAATCTAATAAGGACCCAGAATATACTTATGTACTTATACATACATATATTAGATATCAGATGTTAGAAATTGCTAATCAGTTAGATTAAGTTTTAACTTAAAATTTTATCCACTTTTAACTAAGAATTTAATGAAACATTTTAGTCTAAACCTAAAATTTTAAACACAAATAAAACATGATGACCGTTTGAGGGTTAAATAGTGGCAAGTTCTGATACGCTTAGTGTATACAACAACCCTGTGTACTTAGAAAAAAGCGAATTCAAGCACCATTTTGGGCGACATCTATATGTCAAACATATAAGCAAGCAAAAGTACTGTATAATAACGATTATAAAATTAATTACTGTATACAAAGTGACTTTGCTAAATAAACTTAAAATTAGGGTTTTTATAAATTAGGTTAAAAAAAGTTCCGTTAAAAAATATTAGTAATATTTTATTAAATATGTATGTTAGTGGATATATTGTAGGTACTTTGGTAAATTATTAAACTTATAAGAACTTAAAATTAAAATTCAAAAAAATACTTAAAAAGCTGTGCTAAATAGACACTAACAACTAAAATAATGTCTCACGCATGGGTCGATGCACCACAACAATAGGTTCCTCTTCCGAAGTCTCACCACTAGCGGCTGCTGTAGCAGCTGCCGCTATAAAACTACCACTTGCCCGACGACTAGAGGAGTTGCGTAATTTCTTGCGTTTACCTTTAATCAATTCATCTTCGGTATTTGATTCTATGGGCGAAGAGTCATAGTTGACATCTTTTAGAGATTGAATATCGGGTTCTATGACAACATGAAAATCACTGCCTCCAGGTGAGTCGGAAATTTTGGTATTTGCACTGAAATAATCTTCTACAGCTGGTGCTAGAGGTGTGGCTATAGGTGAAGGTGATTTGGGTTTACGTCTAGCAAAGGGACTACTAGGTTTACTGCTGACCTCATATTCGGGATCTGTTAGGAATTCAACACTGTCTGCTCTTAGGTTGGCCCTTTTAAAGGGTGGTATCTCGGCTATTTTGGGTTTTCGTTTAGTATATGGACTATTTTCATAGCTTTGGAAATTGCCTAATTTTTCTGCACTCTGCAGATTTTGAGATTTTAAGTGAGCTGCTGGGAAACGAGAATCTTCAATGCTAAAACGTCTACTACCCGAATTGTTGTGTACTATTCCACCGGTACGCCTGTTAGGCACAATTTGTTGTACTCTTTCTATGTCTCGATTCGAAAGCATTTCCTCACTACGAAAACGATTTCTATAATCATATTGTATATCTTGATCATCTTCTTCGGCTATATCCTCTTCAGGATTAGTGCGATTTTTCTTAAAACGTCTACGCCTTCTAGAGGTTTCTTCGGATAAATCTAACATAGATTTAACCGGTCTTACTGGTTTGGGCATGGTGAGAGCATCTTCGTAAGAAGGTAAAGCATTTTCAAAACTATTAGGAGCATTGGGACGAGCTTCTTCTTCCAGTATACGTTGATTTAAACGGCGTCTATAAGTTTTAAGGGAAAAATTTCAAAAATTCTTAATTATTTGACTAAAAACTTACATTTCTCTCATTTCATCATGATTACGGCGGTACTCCTCGGTATCTATGCGCTTTTTTCTCCAGGCCATATATCTTTGGAAACAAGTAAATAGGAATATTAAAACCCCTATAACCACTATCGATAGCATTATAGTGGTCCAAACCTTTTCGGCATTATTGGAATGACTATTTTGAATCCAATCTCTTTCACAGGCTGCCTGCCAAGTCTTGCCATAGTTGTAGGTGGGTGAGGCACAACGCAAGCTATTGCGGTCTTTAATCTGAATCAAATAGAAAGATATATCGTTTTTTTCTTTTTATTATAAAGATGGAAATATTTACCCTTGATGGCGCTGCTGTTAAATAATCATAGAATTCTACAAATATGGGATCCTGACAATTACAAATCCAAGTATTATCTCCCACCCATATGGCATCTAAATATTTATTGGATTGAAAATATTCCCTAGGAAAAGGATTGGTAAAACGATTGCCATTTAACTTAAGTTGAGCCAATTCGGGAAAATGTTGAAAGGTGGCATTGCTTAAGGCGGATAAACTGCAAAATAACAAAAAAATCTAGTACCAAATTTCTCCATTAAGGGGAGTCATGTTACATTAACACTTACCGACAGTAGCTTAAATCCAACCTTTGTAAAGTATCTGATCTCATGCCTGCTGGCAGATCTCTTATCAAATTGTTAGACAAATCCAGTTTCTGCAAAGACGATAGACTGGAAAAGGCGGTGCCATCAATCAATATTATTTCACACCATGACAAATTAATATCACGCAATGAGTTCGATATCAGTTTGGTAAACTTATCTATAACATTGTGGCTTAAATTCAATGAAACCAAATTATCATTCGAACGAAATACATTGCGATCCAAACGTGCTATTTCATTATAGGCCAAATCCAAAGAAGCAAGTTTTTTTAATTTATAAAATGATTCCGCTTCCAAAGAGCGTAAGGAGTTACGTGACAAATCTATACTCTCCAATAAACTATTGTTCTCAAAAGTCTGACCCGTTAAGGTGCGCAACATATTGCCACGTAAATGCAGCTGCTGAAGATTAGGCAAAGCTGAAAGATCTATATCATCTAGACTGCAATAGGAAAGATCTAATTCACTAAGTGTAGAAGAGTCTAAGCGGTCAGAAGGTCCCACTTGCAAGGCAGTATTCCAGGAAAGCTGTAAAAACTCTAAAGCTGGCAAACCTGCCAATAAAGAACGTGGTATTCTCTGCAAATTACAACCACTCAACTCCAAAACTCTCAAAGACTTAGAGGGTAAAGTATTAAGCGCCACCAAAGAGTTTTTATTTAAATTTAATCTCTCTAAATTCGGCATATTCTGCATTAAAATATCACCACCAACTTTAGTTATACCACAATTTTCCAGCTCCAAATGTGTCAACGATTCACTTATAATCACCTGCTGATGATCGTCCATATTGAAAGACTCCAAAGAATTGCCATTCAAAACCAAACGCTGTAAACTTACAGCATTAAGAAAAGCCGTATTTGGATTTAAATGTAACCAACGATTAATGGTATTATTGGCCAATATAAGGGTTCGCAAAGCATTAAACCCCATTAAAGCGTCAGCATCTAAATATTCGATTTGATTATTTGATAAATCCAAATAAATCAAAGAATTATAATTTGATAGTTGTGTGGGAAATTCTATAAAATAATTGCCCGATAGATCAACATGTTCTATGGGCATTGAGCCAAAATCTGGATATTCTATTAGACCGCCATAGGCACAATTTACTTCCAGACTATCTAATATCCAGGAACATTTACAATTTACTGGGCAATTTATAGCTTCTATAGGCTGGAAAGCATATGTTAGTACAGCAAGGGCGTATAATGTTTGCAGACAACCTGCTGCAGGCTTTATGTTTTTGGCCATAGTTCTATGGTTAATGGGTTATAGTGGGGAGGGGGTGAAATTATAAATAATAATGCTGAAAATAGACAATAAAAAATTAATTATAATAAAAATGTTTTATAAGGAAATAATTGTATTGAAAAAAAAAAAACAGCGATAACATTAAGGTCAATGAATCATAATTGGTTGTTTATATAGAAATTAAGGTGTTTTTAGTATTCTGAAAAAAGTGGTTTTGAAAAAACTTTCTGCTGATGTTTGTAAAATGATGACCCTATAAAGCTTTTAAACAGACTATTAAATATACTAGACAACAATAACAACCAATTAGTTCTTATCTCTAGGCGAATTGAACAAAGCTGATTACAGGAACTATCAAACACTGGTCACAAAGAGGAGATCATGGTCATGGTCTAAACAATAAGAGCAAAGCAGCCCTCTAGGAATGTTATTCTAAACTGGAAGATGATAAAGGTCTGAAGATCAATTTGACAACTCGAAAACCGAAATATACAACATCCTTTCTAAACACCACACTAGCTTCTGGGCGCAACACCGAGCTATCACGGAATGTGTAAAATTTATTGAGGTTAACATATTTTCCAACAGCCAGTTGGGAAATTGGAAATATATTAACTGATAATGTTAAATCAAAGAACGTATTAGAATTCAAGAGGGTCATGACCAAGTGAGGAGCTTGAGGAAGTTAATCTAACGAATACAAAACCCTTCGACGCAACAAGGGTTGAATGAATAATGGAACTGTGGGTAGAGCCTCTAAAATCATGTAG